CCAGCCCTTCTCTCCCCTCTGTGCCCACTCCTCCAGTAGCCCCACTCTGATCATGTGAGCTACCCCTCCCCATCACCTCTCCTAACACCTCCCTCTACACACCTGCCCTGCCTCTCTCCTCTGTTTCTGGTCCCTCCCCTGCAGGTGTCTGCCTTTCTGCTTCACCCCTAGATTCACATGGAATCTGCACCTTCCCGTACCCCTGCACCCTCCTAGTGCCTCCACCTTCCCTCACTGTCCCTGCCCCCCTTTTTCCCTGCTGCCCACCCCCTCACCATCCTCTGCCTCCATTCCCCTCATGCCCGTGCCCTTACACATGCCTTGCTCCATCCCTGCCTTCCTCATGCACACCCCTTGCCTTGCTCATGCCCATCCCTTCTTTCATCCCTTCTCCCAACACCTCCCCCTCTTCTCACATCACCCTGTCCCCTCCCTCATCCCATTGACACCTCCTCTCCTGACTGCTGGGATGGGACACTGTGCCCCCCGTAGGGTGCCCTCCCCAGGATCAGGGCTGCGAGCCCCTGGCTGGCTCTGGGTAGCAACCAGAGCACTGTGGGGTCCTTCTGGCCAATCCTCAAGGTCTCGGCCCATCAGCACCTCCGCAGGCAGATGCTGCTGCAGTCTCCTATTTCAGATGCACCCAGGCTACAGGCACCTTGAACGGGGTCCCATCTATGCCCCTCAGGGTCACCAGGGCTATTAGCTCAGGCCAGGTCAGCGTCACCTCCCAAGCTGAGGTCTGCCTGCCAGCCCCTGCCCCCGGGGCAGTCTGCTCCTCCTCCAGCCTCAGCCAGTTAACCCTGGGAAGTCTCGGATTGTGGAGCCTGTCCGGGGTTTTGGGGCACTGAGCCTTTGCCCACAGCGATGGCAGGTCAGGTCCCATTGGTCCCCTCGGGCCACCCGGAGGGAGGAGGGGGGTTGCTGACCCCCTCTGTTCTGGACTTGCCCCGTAGGCACTTCCTGCAGTTGTGCAGCCAAGAACCAGTCTCTCAAGGATTCCCTTTCACCCCCGAACGGCTGAGAACTCATAGCCAGCTTCCCTGCGCCGTGGGGGTCCTCCAGCTTCCTGTGCTTCAGCCACAGCCTCAGGTCGGGCGAGCGCTCTTCACAGAACCGTTCTAGGACCATCAGCATAGCCAGGTCCTCTGCCTTCTGGGCTCCGCCCCGAACACCCACTTGCGGAAGTATTGCACCAGGTGCGAGGCTAGGTCTACGTAGGTCTCCTCAGGGCCCTTCTGTGCACCCTGGAACATTTTCCTGTTTGCCTCAGGGGTCAGTCCGAACTTGTGCAGCAGGGCTTGTTTGACCCGTTCGTAGTCCCCCGGCTGCAGCCCCTGCAGCTGGCCGAGCACCCCTGCGGCCTTCTGATCCAGTAAGGGGGTGAACTGCTGGAGCCAGTTGGCTGGGGGGGGACCTGGTGCAGCTCGCAGGCTTGCTTGAAGCAATTAAGGAATCCATCCAGGTCCCCCACGTCTTTACACTGGGACAGCACCAACCTCTCAAAATGACTTGCAGTCCCAGGTCCTCTGGGCTCCTACCCACTCACCGCAGCTGGGGTCCCACTCTCTCTTAGCTCCGCCATGGCCCACTCATGCTGCCGCTATCCCCTAAGGTCCTCGTGATCCTTCACTTGTGCCTCCAATTCCTTTAGCTGTAGCTCCACCTCCAGCTGTTGCAGCTCTGCCGAGAGGGACCCTGCCCGGGACAAACCACTGCTGTTCAAGCACAGCCTGGTGGGCACCATGGTCTCCTGCCCTTTCTCCTGTCTCAGAGCCTGAAACGCTCCCTGGGGCAGTCTGGCTGCTCCTGGCCGGGACAGGATCCAGTCCCCTGGAACGATCACCCTCTTCTGGCTGGGCAGCTAGCTGGGCCTTGGTCAATTTCCCCACGGGCAGGCCTCTCTCCTTGCACAGTGCCACAACGCCTGCCTTCAGAAGTCGGGTGTAGGCTGTCTCCCTGCTGTTCCCCGCAGTGCAGACTCACAGGCCAATGCTGCAGTGCCCCACAATTCCCAGGAAGAACCCTTCAGTGTGCCAGCCTCTTGGAGCATCACTCCCCCCCAGGGGATGTAGAGTCCTCCGCCTTCTGGGGCAACTTCCCAAGATCCTGGGAAACACTCCTTCTCTGAGACCACGCTCGGGTTAAGCTGCCTGCCCCTCGGCTTCCTGCGCTTCTCACTGCCTCCAGCACACCTGGCTCTAGCAAGTCCCCTTCTTTCTACTGTGCCCCAGTCACTTACTGCCAGCTGTGCCATCCATGGGGTGCAATCGAACCACCCTCTGCTACCACTGTCACGGTGTGTCAGGGGACCCCCGACCCTGCACCCCCCATCTGCAGCCAGCAGGTAGAACAGAAAGGTTTATTGGCTCACAGGGAAGCACAGGATAGATGTTAACACAGGCACCCAGAGCAGGCAGCTTTATTCCTCTTGGGGGTAAGGGGCTCCTGGGTCCCACACCCCCCTTTTCCGGCTCTCAGCCTCCTCTCTCATCCCAGCTCAGAGGAGACTGACTCTTCTCACAGGCCCTACCCACAGCCTGGAGTCAGCCCCGGCTAGCCTTGTCTCCCTTCTGGGCCAGGAGTTGTTATCCTCTGTGTCTGATCCTCAGGTGCCTGGGCCCAATACACATCCGGGGTGAGTCATCCTCAGCCTCTCCCCCCTCATGCAGAGTGCTGCTGGGGGGGGCGGGGGAAGGCACGGCGCCGCTGCAGGCCACGAGCCAGATGCCACAATCTCAACCCACCACTCAAGAAATACTTACAGTTAGGCATCACCTCTACACATCAGCATTCCCCCAGAAGTCCCCAACACCAATGCTACACATCCCAGCAGCTGCAGAACTCCCTTACCTGGAAGCAGACGAGCCCACAGAGGGCAAGGACACGTCCTTTCATTGGGCGGCTAAGCCAGCCTTTTCTCCAAAAGTAGACAGCAGGCAGAATATAGGCCAAACCTACAACCCGGCCCCACATGCGGTGTGAATACTCCATGTACCAGATGAACTTGAACTCTGTCAATGTCATGTCATGATTCAGGCTGTTGGAAAAGGCAGAACAAAAGAATAAACAAGAAACTCCATGGTCTGAAACAGTGGCTCTTCTTCACACTCCCAATTTCACGAGTGATGTTAGAGAACATGTAATTGAATAGTCTGTAACCGCAGCAAATGTGAACAGTTACACAACTATTGGATAGTCCCCGGGGGCGGGGCCAGC